TACATACCTGGTGAATGAATGAATCCACACACCAATAAAATATTACCAAATGACTGTTTATAGTTTGGCCTTTAGGGGATATTCAGAAGTGCTGAGAAGGTTTTTCAGCCTTGCCATTATTGACATTTGCTACTGCATAGGTCTTTGCAGGTAGTGGAAGGCAAGGACTGACCTATATAGTATAGAATGTTTAGCAGACTCCTTGGTTTCTATTTACCAGTAGCAGCCCACCTATACCTGTGACAACCAAAAATCTTTTCACATGTTGGTAAATGCCCTGAGTGAGGGTGTGAATCACCACTAGTTGAAAAGGAGGATTGAGGTACAGTAGCAGATAGGGTAGTGTGAGGAAAACATGGATCAAAGATCAAGGGAAAAAGTAAGAGTGGGTTAAAGAACCAAACTGAGAGAAAATAAGAGAAGACTTGAGGAAAGTAACAGAAGGGAAAGTCTTGACAGGTTTTGGAAAATTGGCATTTACTAAGAAAACTTAAATGGATGAAATGATTTCTTCCGTTCATTGGCCATCCTGAGAGATTTAGCTTGAAATGATGGATTTACTTGGATTTTTCTAGGGACTCAAGGGTATGGATCTTGATTAGAAACAGAGTAAATAATCTGTGATTCTGAAAATTCATTTACCATATGAAGACCTGAGCCACTACTGTGGCTTTGGAAACTTTTCAAGTGAACCTTCATTTTTCCTTGAACACTGAAACTATCAAAAAAACACACACAAATCATCTAGGATTCCATGTCTCATACATGTATACACACACACACACACACACACACACACACACACACACACACAAAGCAAGCCATTTGCTTTGTTTTTTCCTCCATGATTGTGATATACAAAATTCTAGAACCCTATTTAAGACCCCATTTTACCGATCCTCTTGCATATTGCTCACTGTTCTGAACTATCTGGAAGTTCAAAGACCTGTAGCAGTCATTATAAATGGATTAATCTAGCTCAATGTTTTTTTTTAATTTTTATTTTATGTGTATGAGTGTATTGTCTGCATATATGTAAGTACACGCATGTCGTGCAGTGCCCACGGAGGTCAGAGAGGGTGTTGGATCACCTGGAACTGGAGTTACAGACAGTTGTTAGCTGCCATGTGGGTGCTGGGACTCAAACCTAAGTCCTTAACAAGAGCTACCAGTGCTCTTAACCCCTGTGCCATCTCACTAGCCCCTCAGGAGTTTTTCTTTTTTTTTAACTTTTTAAAACTTCATGGAAGAATGCCTTCCTAAGATGGAGAATATTATGTATCAAAGCAATAGGGGGTGAAATAACCAAAATTATGGGGAAACTTAAGTCATATTTACCAAATAATGATGCCTCAATTATAAAAATATCATAGTCAAGTTAGGTGTGTTGGTGCATATCTGTAATCTCAGCACTCAAGTTTTCAACAAAGCACTAGAACTCTGGAATACAGATTGGAGGTTTGAAAACCTTCAGGGATTGATGAAGGTTTTTTGTTGTTTTGTTGTTGTTGTTGTTTGTTTCTTTTTTGTTTTGGTTGCAGCTGCAACTGCTCTGCTGTGCCATTATGACTTTAAAGCAATCATCAACATCATGCAAATCAGTGAGTGTGGCTACAGTTGGTCTGCTGTTGGCCATTTTGATTTGCTTGTTGCTGAATCTCCATCCCACCACTCAGCATTTATTAACAAATGAAGACTCTGAGGGTGAGAATGAGGAAATTGTCATTAATAGATAGTTCTCCTTGTCACACTGCTCCTTTACCTTTCTTTGTGATGTCAATAGAAATTTTTATGTATGTATATGAAAATGATTCATGAGAGAAAAGAGAGAATCAGAGGAAAAGAGATAGGGAGGGACAGATAGAAGAGAAGAGAATGAGCTTTGTTTCTTTAAAAGTCTTTACTGCATATTAAGTATTTCTGTGTCATAAAGTGAAAGCACTCTACCCCAAACCTTGTCATTTTCAAGAGAATATTGTATTAGTACAGCTACTCAGAGGTTGCTTCTAACGGTGTCTTCAGTGAACAGCTTTGCTCATACATATATGTCAAATGTCTTTGCATGAGCTATTTGAGGCCTAGTGTTTATTTATGGGGAAATAGCAATATTTTTATTAAACAGTGATATTTTCCTCAGGATCACTGAGACAATCAGAATCATGTTAAGGCTATGTGGAATGAATTTCAAAATTGAGAGGGCTAGACCTGTCTGATGAGGTACCTACTTTTTCCCCAAAGAAGAAAATAAAAGCAACAACTTTGGGTACATTTTGTAGTAGACACTCTTTTAAGCACTTCTTGTGTTATTTCATTTGATTTATTTTTTTTGTTCTTTTTTGAGACAGGGTCTCCCTATAGTCTCAGCTGGCTTGGAACTCACTATGTAGATCAGGCTGGCCTTGAACTCACAGAGATCTGCCTGCCTCTGCCTTCTAAGTGCTGGGACTAAAGGCATGCACCACCACACCCGGCTTGTGTTATCTCATTTCAACCTTAGAGAGGTACACTACATTATCCTCATGTCCACGTTACTGATAAATGAGTAATGAAAGCTCAGGGGAGAAATAAAAGGGAAACTCAGGAAGATTTAAGTAACTTGCCTTGAGCTGCATAGTGCAGAAATGAGAGAGCCTTGATTGGGATTAAGACAGTTCTAGAACTTAGGACCTTAGCCATTTTACCGTCTATATGGTCTTCACATAAAAAAGAACCAGTAACATTTATGATGAACTTGGAAGGTGAAGTTGAGGGCCCACTACGGCAATTAGTAGTTTAATATTTGAGGAGCTTAACAGCATAGACAAATTTGTAGAGGAGAGGCAAAGGAGATAAAGGAATCCTTCACGATGAAGGTTAAAGTAAAGCATATAAAATGCATGATAGGACTAGCGTTAAAGCACAATAACTGCTCCATTCTGTGCTCAGATATTACCTACAAAACACAAGAGTATGTAGCTCAGAAGATGGCAGACTTTGGAGGCTGTATCCACAACAACTTGCATTGGCAGCATCCAAGGCTTATGATTTTCTGTTGTGACTTATCTGTGGGTTAAATGCTTTCCAGCTGATCATGATGTTTAAGGATGAGTTATAATCTTGCTTTTCTATAAGGAGGTGGAAGAAGCATGCCACCAACAATGATCTTGGTACCTTGTGGAAAATCACCCCTGTAGCAAACTATTATCTTATTTCTCTTGCCTTGCTCTGTGGAATTTGTCCGACTTGAATACCTATCTTCAACAAAACTCACAGAACTCTCTGAGCACATGTTGCCTTTCCCTTCCAAGAGACTGGCCCAGTGTCTTCTCTTACTGTGGGTATTTTTCGTGGGATATTTCATTTTCCTTTTCAAGGAAGTCAGGACAGGGGGAAATTGGCATGACCCTGGATTGCTCTTTTTTTTTTTTTTTTTTTTAGTTTTCTGACCTTGCAGTTGAGTAATTTACCATCAAGGCAGAACTGCATGATATCTATGTTTAATTATCTTTAAGTATAACTGCTGTAAGTATTCAAGCATTCATGATTATAGTTAACATTCTCTGCAATAACAATGTACTGATCCATTAGGGTTCTGAGAGTGATGAACGAATAAATGTATTCAACTTTAAATAACTCACGAAGATTATGAAACCCCAGAGGTGAAGGATAGGGAATGTTTCCTGCTCTTCCATTCATTATTCAGTTTAGCAAACAGCTAGACAGAGACATCCATAACCCGAATGTCTTGCTTGCCCTCGTCAGGAAAGAAAGTTTTAAGGTAACTGAAGAAAGAATATGATGATGTTTTTCTTTATTGTGTATCCAAGGGAAATATTTTTTTTGGTCTTTTTGAGACAGGGTCTCCCTGTAGTTTTAGATGGCCTGGATCTCATTATGTAGACAAGGCTGGCCTTGAACTCACACAGAGATCTGCCTGCCTCTGCCTCCTGAGTGTTGGGATCAAAGGCGTGCACCATCTCACCTAGCTCCAGGAAATGATTTTATATATCAAAACATCAAGGCATAAAACTCATCTCTGTTGTTTTACAAGGCTGGATTGAGTGAGCCCTGGGATTAATGAGGATATCCACAGAAACAGTGAAACAAAAAGTTTTGGCTTTGCTATCACCTAGGCAAAGGATATGCTATAGGTTTGGTAGTAGGAAATATAAAATGGGTTTTCTTCCAGCTGCAAAAAGTTCACTAATCCTAATTTAGACAGAAGATTCTAAATAAAAAGTGTTTCCCTATCACTATTTGCAAGAGCTGCTGAACTGCAAATGCAACAGAATAGTTATTTGGACTCATTACCATGAAGGAATCACCTGGTTTGTATAATGAGAAATTCTGATTGGTCCTTTTAGCTTGGCCAGTGCTAAATATGTATTAGTACAGTGAGTAACTTCTGACATTGCAGCCACCTACTTAAGAACCTTACTGCTTAGGGATTAGTCACAGTTGGAAGCCTAGATTTGTTCTTATGCAGGTTAGCAATAATATTTTCAGTCTCTATCTGAATGCACACACACAAATAAATAAATGTAACCAGAATGTAAAGGGATGGGCTTGTTTACATCCCAAGTTAAACACTTATCACTAGATATCTCACTCTTCTGGTCCCAATTCTTTTTAAACACTTATCTACTGTGACAACATGAGACACACCTTTCCCCCAAATATTCATGTTTATAGTAAGGAAGAACAAGAGGTGAGGACATTTGTAAGTGAGAAGCTTGCCCTCTAAGGCACAGACTTGAGAGGAGTAGGCTTGGGAAAAACATGGAGCTTGTAAAGGAGGAACTCAGAAGGGGCTCCTATCACTCTTCACATTAGTTGTATGAAAAATACAAAGAAACCTACTATTCATCCCAAAGGAACTTCTCACTGTTCTTTTTTTTTTTTTTTTTTTTTTTTTTTTTTTTTTTTTGGAGGAGAAAAAAAAAAAAAAAAAAAAACCCCTTTTTCTGACCCTAGTTTTTTTCTTTATTTCCATTTGCAAATCTCCCAACCTGGATTTCCAGTTGAAGAAGAAGCAAGTGTATGTAGATAAGGTTGAGAAGATGCAGCAGGCCCTTGTGCAGCTCCAGGCAGCTTGTGAGAAACGTGAGCAACTGGAGCACCGACTTCGGACACGTCTGGAGAGGGAACTGGAATCCCTTAGAATCCAGCAGGTATTGTTGTGTCACTTCCTGCGGAGACATGAACAAACATCTATTCACCTGTGATAGGTCACAGCTAGGCCTCAGTTCTACCCAAGTGTAGCTTAGTGAATGTATTAGTTACTATTCTGATGCTGTGATTAAAAATTAAAAAAAAATACTAACCAAAGCAACTTACAGAAGCAAGAGTTTATTTGAGCTTACAGTTCCAGGTTCCAGAGGGAACCAGTGAGTTTATTATGGTTACTTGCAGAAATATTGGTGAGGGGTTACTTACAGGATCATAGATGCCTCCAATGCAGCTGCATCATCGAAAATCTCATCCAGGGTAAGGTGATGACTCACTGAAGCATCATCCTGAATCTCCTTGCCCAAATTGTAGGTAGCTCCACCAATCAGAATTTCTTCTAAGGAATTGTCATTGCTTATATAAACTTGGGGGAGGAGTCATATTAATCTTGTAAGTTTCAGGAGCTTGAACCTTGTAAGTTTCATTTATTTTGTAAGTCTTAAAACAGCAGGTATGGAAGGGAGGAACAAATGGAGGGAGGAAAATAAATGAGATTATTTGATTCCCAACATCCACATGGCAGCTAACAACCATCTGTAACTTCAGTTCCACAGGCTCTGATGTGACTTCTGAGGGCATTGCAGGACACGGGTCCACTTATATACTTGAAGGCAATACACCCATACATATAAAATAAATAAAACATAAAAATACTTAAAAAATAGAGGCTCTTCAATTTGGTTGTGGTAGGAAAGGCTGCAGCAGGGTACCTATGAGTTCAAGGCCAGTTTGAGCTATATGATGAGGTCCTGTCACAAAAACAACAGCAATAATAAATAAATGAATAAATACTATTAAAATGGGACTCAGACATGATGCTTGTTCTTTTACTAACTTGAGTGATCTTGGTATTTAAATAAATACATATATATATATATACATACATACATACATACATACATACATACATACATACATATTACTCAAATGGGATTTGGACACGATGGTTATTCTTTTACTAACTTGAGTGGTCTTGGTATTCACCCCATAGCGCCAGGGCACCTCTCAGCCCACTAATGTTTCAGAATACAATGCTGCTGCGCTGATGGAGCTCCTTCGAGAGAAGGAGGAAAGAATTCTGGCCCTGGAAGCTGATATGACAAAGTGGGAGCAGAAGTATTTGGAAGAGAATGTGATGAGACATTTCGCTCTGGATGCTGCTGCAACTGTGGCTGCTCAGAGGTTAGTAATTCACAGGAGAGCCACTACTTGAAAGAAGTGAATGTGGAAACCAGATAAGTAATTGATTGATAGGTTTCCCAATGTTCAGTTTTGTTTAATGTTCTTTTATTCTTCACTTTCTGCTCAGGTATATTTTCTTTCTTTCAGTTATACAAGTGTCCTTGGAGACAGAGGTTTGGGAATTTCAAAACTATGCTTAATGAACTCACTGAAATCGTAGTTGAGCTTGCCTTAGGAACTGGAATATTGCAGATGGGCTAGGCTAAGTATTTGCCCACCTCCTTCCCCGGAATTATAGATCCTTTGTACCACATGTGCTTATCGTTTAGTTCCAAGACTGATGTGAAAGCCCATCTGCAGAAATGCCACTCAGAAAGCAAGTGTCACCCAAGAGTGGCTGCTGCCATCTGAAAGTTCTGGCTCATCTTGCATAGCCCATGAGTCCATCACTGCCCTTTGAGAAGGTCTTTATTTGAAGGCCATATTCTCTGTATCCCTGAGCTCATCACACATAACCAGTGCCATTCCATATGGTTATCAGAGAGAAAGTGGCAGGAGGGGTATTATTTGTTTTTTAAATTTGTTTTCGTTCTATATTATAAAACTATTATGTTTTAGAGAAAATAATTACTATTAAGTAATTTGCTTTTCTTGATGCTGTTCATAATCATTAGTAGAGAAAGAAACAACAAAGACTGAATTCACATCACACGATGACTTATGTTGTAATGATAATGGACAGAGCCTTGGACTAGACTTGGGTCTAATCCAGGGTACATAGCACACAGATAGCCTTCTAGCCACAAACTTATTGGATCAGCAGTACCAATTCTAACATTCTCCCAAATGTGGTTCATCATTAGAGTCCAGAATCATTTGCTATATTTGGGGCAGTGGTTTGTGTTTGTGAAGGTGGTGAGGTATTTTCATTTCTGAATCTTTCAAATGTTAAATCAAATGGGAAGTGGACAGTGCTTAAGACATGGACTGGCACTTTCTAAACCTGCTTATGATTCTTCAGGAAGACATGTTCCATCTCTCTATGTGATTAGCCTGTCTCCAAATAATCCCATACCTTTAAAAGATTCAAGTCTTCATGAGCTGAAGCTTCCCTGGTTTTGTCTCCTGAGAAAAGCATGCTCAGTAAAAGCCAGTATCTTAAGAGACTACAAAGAAACTCTAGGCGGCTGCAGAGATGACTCAGCAGTTAAGAGGCTGCTCTTGAAGAGTATACAGATTCAATTCCCAGCATCCACATGGCAGCTCACAACCTACCATGACTCCAGTTCAGAGGAATTCAATACCCTCATCTGATCTGTGCTGGCATTGCATGGCTCAGGTGCCCTTACACACATGCACACTGTACACTCATACACATAAAATAAAAGCAATAATTCAAATATATTTAAAAGAAACTCTTGCTGTTCCTGATGATGGTCACAAAGCTTAGAGGCAGATTTGAAGCAGAATTCAAGTGTCATTACCTGAAAGCTCCCAAGGAAGCCCAGCACTTGTTTAGAGGTTATTCATGAAACCCTGACACTGAAAACCTATTTGTGATTGGGAATTGGGGAGATGCAGAGTAATTCTAACATCTTTGTACATTGATACAGCTCCTGATGTTGTGGGGCATGAGAAAATATTTAAAAGCAAGTTCTTGGTGCTGACTTCAGAAGGGACACCAGGGCAAAGTGCAGGAAAGCTAAAGAGTTTGGCACTGAGGACCTTATGTAAAAAAAGAACCCTTTCCCCTTCTCTGCTCTCTTGAAAGCACTAAATATTGAGAAAATCATTTTGCAAATGGATGTTCAGAATCTGTTGGTGCCTATAAACTGAATTTAATTAAAATCAAATTGTGTTGCATCACTAGGTAGAAAGTATCCATGTAGTCAGTTTCAGAAAAATATGTACGCTTATTATTTAATATAATAAAATGCAGCATTTTTTCAGAATTACTTGCTACTAGGAACACCTTCTACTATGGACAAACATTCCAGATCTGGACTGTGTGTTGCTAATCCCAAACACAGGACAGAGTGAGAGATAAAGAGACTATATTGAACTTCCTGTTACGTAAATAAGCTGGACTAGGTGATTCCTCCAGACCCTTCTATATTTAGGCTTGTGTTTATTTTCTATAGAGATTTCTATAGAGCTTGTTTTCCTTTCTGTTTTGCCTTTATTCACAAGATGACAAATTTGGTGGTAACAGAATATTTTATTTCTGAACCTATGAGTTTTTCTGCCTTTCTTACCAACATCTCTTCTCATTCCTTTTCCATTTGTAACCTTCTTTTATCTGCCAATTCTAAAGGCAGGGATTGATTGAGATTCTGCCCTTTGGCACCTTTCAGTGGTGAAACGTTTTACACTTTGTTTTCTATCAATGTAAGTTTTAAGTGCCTAGGATATTTACTGCAGTTGGAAAGTGCTCAAAATTTGATTAAGGAAGGAAAGAACAAAACATAAAGGGAGGGAAAGAAGAAGGAAGGGAAAGAATTGCGTTTTCGAAATGTGTAAGTTAAATTCTTAAATTTAATTCTGCATTTTAACACTCTGCGTGGCTTCTATGTACTCTGTCAGTATCTCAAACTTAATATAGTCCAAACTTCTCAAGTGTATGACAAGGTTAGCGATGTTTCACAATTAAGGCATCCCTTGAGTGACATCAGTGGTAGTTACAGGCAACAGAGTACTTTTCAGTATTACTTAGACATTAGAAATTTCCCATTTCAAATATGCAATTCAATAAATGTTGTAAATGCAATAGTGTAGCTACCACCATAATCAACACAGAACACACATTCTGCTACAGTCCTCCTCTCTGACCAACTGACCTGTCCGAGGGACACAAAAGACACATCTGAAGTCCCCCTGTGTGCCTGAACCTTGATTCTTTCCTCTCTGTGCAATGACTCCTCTGTTTTCTCATAAAGTTACAAATTTCTTTCCTGGAGTGTCAATATGAAAGGAGTCATATTGTGTTTGCAGTTTTTGTTTGACTTCAGATCCTTAATATAATTATCTTGAGATATATCCCAGTTGGTGCATGTATTAATAGTTCATGTCTTTTCATTGCTATGTGGTGTGCCATGGAACAGATGCATCATAGTTTATTTGTCCATTCACCTGATGATAGATATTGGGATTATTTCCAGTCTGAGGCCACTGGAAAAAATAAAATGCATTTAAAAAATATTTTTTATTTTTTATTGTATTTTGATTCTTTTCAAAAATTTTATTGTTTTTATTTTATGTGTATGAGTGTATTGTCTGCATGTATGTGAGTGGACCAATGTCATACAATGCCACAGAGGTCAGAAGAGAGCTCCGGATTCCCCTGGAACTGGAGTTAAGGATGGTTTGTAGCCACCATGTGGGTGCTGGGAATCAAATCTGGGTTCTCTGAAAGAGCACTCAGTGCTCTTAACCACTGAGCCATCTCTCCAGGCCCTGATTTATTATTTATTTATTTATTTATTTATTTATTTATTATTTATTTTATATGTATGTATGTATTGCCTGCATGTAAGTAAGTGCACCCATGTCATGCAATGCCTTTGGAGGTCAGAAGAGGCTGTGAGATCCCCTGGGACTGGAGTTATGGACAGTTGTTAGCTGCCATGTGGGTGCTGGGAATCAAACCCGGGTCTTCTGCAAGAACAACTAGTGTTCTTAACCACTGAGCCATCTCTCCAGCCCCTAAAAATATTTTTCTGTGTCAGAAGGTGTGTTGGGTTGTCTGTTTATACCATTTCTAGTTGGTTCTGAACTAACTCTTACCAATGGAAAGCAGTGGGTACAATAATTTCAATCAGGAACAGGACCAGTAGTAAATACTGATATGGACCAGTAATGTACATAGGTAAATTTTACTCAGTGAGCAAGAGTATATTTAATGGTTTTTAATGGTATATTTAATGGTAAAGATACTTTAATTTTTCTTATTCAAAATAGTTTTTGAGCTGAGAACAATGACACAGACCTATAAACTCAACACCTAAACAGGTACAGGCAGGAAGATTGTGAATTGCAAGCCAAACTAGGCTATGTAAGAACCAATATAAAATAAAATATTACCTTGTGTAAAAGAAAAATGATACTTAATTTTTTTTCAAAAAGTTTATTTGTCAAAAAAATGCAGTGCTTACTATGTAAGGTGCTCTTTACAGAGCTTTATATTATTACGTATCCCCCAAATACTTTGATATCAGAACTATCATCTGTTCTACAAAGGAGCATCCTCAGGCACAGAGGAATTGAGTCATTTATTCAAGATCACACACTCCTACTAAAGTACACAAGAGCCAGGATTTAAGTCAACATTTTGCCACCTTAGGTGCTATACTCTACTGTCTCCTAGATACATGTGCCTTAGTGATGATGAACTTGAGATCATTGCCTGTTCAATAAGGTATTATGTGAGGCTTGTTACACAGGCACTTTCAAGTATTATAAATATTTGCAATATCATTTCCTGTGTTCAGGCTCTGAGTTACTTTGTCTCTATCTCTAGAGACTCTCCCCTCTGTGTGCTTATTATGATAAATAGAAATCAGTACCAAGAAGTTCCTGTTCATTCCTAGAAGACCCAATATGGCAATATAGATTTTGAGTTCCAGCTTATAAATGGTGAATTTTCTTAAAAACAACAAAATATAACAAGAGAGCATAACCTACAAACCGTGTAATTAATTAAGTTATATTAACTGGATTGGGATTTTACCTTTCTCTGAATTTGCAATGTCTCTGTTTAGTTTTGGGCAAAACAAATTCAGGAAAGGTGGAAATAAAGAAAGGGAGGGTAGGAGGCAGAAACTTTCAACAGACATCACATGTGGCTAGTTTTTCCTTCCATGATGGCCTTTCTCAGTATCCACCCTCTGCTTTCTTCTCAATCTGTGTTGTGTTGTAATTACCTTGTTTTCTGTTGTGGCTCTCTGTAGTAAGAACGATACTGTAATAGTTCTGACATCTCTAAGATTAAAGTTACAACCTTCAATAACTTGAATAAATGTCATATGACTGGTTTCAAGACACTTTCTTCCATATCTCTGAAATAAAAATCATCACAGTACTTTTCAAAAATTCTCTCCTTGGTTTACTATGACAGAAACCACTATGCCATGATTAGAATTAGAAATAACAGTGTTCTCTCTCTTTCTTTCATCTCCCTAGCACCACCATTGAAGTGGTCTCCAAGGTCAATCACATCTACCTCCCACAGTCTGTTTCCATTTCCCTTGCCACTTCACTGGTTTGTGTTTTCATTATCTCTTGCTGGGATTATCAAAATCACCTTTCCACCTGGTCTGCTGATTTCTGTCTCTCTCTTCTAATCCCTCCATCACATTTCAGCAACAGATAATATTATCTTTCTAAAGCTCAACACAGGTCATTTCATTCCCCCTGAAAAGCTATAATAGTTTCCAGTGCCTACTGGACTAAAGTCCAAACTTATTCCTGTAGTGGTTAATTATTTACTTTTTGTCTTTCCTTGCAATTTTTCTGCAGCCAGAGACTAATCATTTCCATGTTTCTCTCCTCTCTAGCCTCCCACAGTGCTCCACTTGTGGTAAAGTTCATGAATTAAATAAAGAACAGGAAGCTACCCATAGGAAAAGAAAAAGTGATTTATTTATTGATTTTTTTCTTAATTTTTAAATCTTTTTGGGATGAGATCTTCTTATCTTCTTATGTAGCCTTGGCTAGCCTGGAACTCAATATGTCAAACAGGCTGGCCTTAAACTTGCAGTGCCTTCGGTCTCCTCCTCCCTGATGCTAGATTGCAGACATGAACTTCGCCCATCAGGTTGAAGCTTAAGTAACCACTAGGTGTTTTAATTAGGAAGTCACGGGTAAAATTCTTTAGAGTATTATAGTTGTGAGAACACCATCAGAGAAAGGAAGAAGAGAGAAATGATTTGGGGAGATGTTGACAAAAAATATTTACTTAAGAATTTGAGATGGGGTTATATCAGGTTCAGAGGTATGGGGCTCAGAGTTTGCAGGCTGCTTTCAGACTGCACCCAGTACCTCCTGATATTCTTTAAGATAGTCTCAGAGTATTGGATCTTGTTCTTTCAAATGCTGTGCTTGCTTTCTTGCATTTGCAAAGCCATTGGCTTCATAGCCCTACTCTTCTACAAGGAAGATTGATATTGAAGGCTGTCCTGGCAGCTCTGTAGGAATTCATTAAGTGCCCCACATTTTCAGGCTTCATTCCTGAGGAGTTCACAGTGTCCATATCAATTAGCTGGCAGGGCTCTCTGTACCCAAACTCAAACTGGTCTTTTATGCAACGAAAGTGGCAGTAGGCCAGCACTAGTTCCCCCAGTGATAAACTGTACGTTCAAGCCCCCAATGTTTTATAGACACCATGCACATTTCAAGAGACTTGGCTCTACAGTTGTAGCTGTCAGTTCACCCTGGCCCTAGTAGGAATGGACTCCTGGATTACACCAAGAGGTAGAATGCTTTAAAGTCATGCTATTGTTTTGTTATTCTCTTACTTATGCACTTCTCAATATTAAATAGCACCATTGTTTAGTGCTTTTATTTTGGTCTTTTTGAGACAGGGTCTCCCTGTAGCCCCAGCTGTCCTGGAACTCATTATGTAGACCAGGCTGGCATGCTTAATGGTATATGTTTTTACATGCATGCTTTTATTTTCTATAAAATGAGAGGAAAATGCAGGCCTCAAAGTATGGCTGTAAACATCCAATAAGGTTCATTGCACCAGTCTGCAGTTGCCATTTTGCATATGAGGAAAAGTAAGCCTAGAGCAATTAACTGACTTTCTTAGATCTGAAAGTTTGTTTGTAGCAGAGTACTTGGAGAAGCTGAGACTTGATCCCAGTGTTGACTATAGTAAGAGGCCTGAATATGTTGTGTTTTCTTGGAGAATCCGCTACGACTGCAAACAAGTGAACTTTACTAGAGAAATGTGGAATTCTGAGATGTTAAAATAGTTTAGGAAATGATGAGAGCAACTCTATCCCTTCCTCCTCTGGCTCTTCAGTTATTTCACTATTACAATAAGTAATTGCAACCCTTCAAAGAGCTGAAGGCATTGGGACAGCAGTGGTTTCTGCAGAGGATGACCAAACTTTCCTAATCTTAATGTTAACCTGCTCATCTCCTTACCCCAAATTGATACTTGTCGTAATTTGAATGCTAGGAGAACATAGCTAGTTAGTCTCCTGCAGACAATGTACCTAAGACCCAGAGGAAATAGTGAAGTAAGGTCAGTTCATCATTCTGTCTTTCCCATGCACACAGATTTCTTCTTGTTAATAGTCTTTGAGTTAAGACAGTTTCAGATAGAACATGACAATCCCTTATGCATTTGAACTCTGGCAAGGGAACAGACACTTAGTTGGGATAAACTTGTGCATTTCATGGTAGAATGGTTCAGATGTAGATTAGATAAGGAACGTTGTAACACGGAGTCATAGGTCCTCTTTGTCAGCTCATGTTTGCCTACCTGATCTTAGTTGTCTGTGTGTCTGTTGGTTATTTCTGGACTTCATATGTAACTGATATTAATATGTCACAAGAAGCTATTTAGTAATCTTCAGATTTAACCTCAAAGTTTAGCCATTTCCCTTCATGACTGTTAAGAGAATACAGTGGAACATGTACATATTCTCATTGCTTGGTGGTGATTTAAATGATGAAGGGACTATATGTTAAAAGGTTTGGGAAGTATATTTGTCCAGTTCTGAAGGCCTGCAGGCACACATTTCATACAATCCCCTGCTGATTTTGGTAGCCATGTCCATGCCAATGCCTCTTCTACCCTGAAAACTTACTAACTGGGAGCTCATAACAGTAAATCATATACTAACCATCCCTACTGAGATTGATTTTAGTTTAAGACTTTCCAGCAAAACCTCCATTGACTTGGGAGAGAGAATAATGTTTATTGATTTTGCTGCCTGCTCATCATCCTCACTGTATTTTTTGCCCTCAGGGACACAACAGTCATCAGCCACTCTCCTAACACCAGCTATGACACAGCTCTAGAGGCTCGCATCCAGAAGGAAGAGGAAGAAATCTTGATGGCCAACAAGCGTTGTCTGGACATGGAGGGCAGGTAAATGTAACCCTAGACCTAGGTGGATTTGAGAATTTGATAAGAGACTAGCTAAGTCAGTAGGGAAAGGTAACAATATTTATTCACAACTGAGGAAACGGATTGTACTTTTTCACCCCCTGCTAGCCTGTTATTTAAGGTTTGAGATGTGATGACTTTTACCTTGAACATTCCCACTAACTGAAATTCCAAGCAGGGTTGCTTTCTCTGACTTTTGTGATTGTTTTCCATCTGCTTTCTGCCAGAGCTGAGTTTTTAACATTCCTAGTCTGGGGTTTTCTTAATAGTATTACACTTCAATTCTGTGATACAGCAGACATCTCAGCAAAACAACCTCTCATCAAACTAGAAATAGGGCAGCAGATGATTTGGGGTTATAGAAAACTTCATCTTCTCACTGAACACATTGTTGCCATTGACAGAACTCCTTCAGCAAAGCACATAGTATATTGTGGGGTCTTTCCTCACAACTTGTTTGCCAGTAATGACTTTGATCTTCTAAGGTGTCAATAGTAGTTCTTGATGCTCTCTTGTAACCAATTAGGACATCAGAAGGATGTTTTTTTCCCTTTAAAGTTCTAACATATTGACCCTTGTCTTCTAACTCAGAAATAATTATATCAGCACTTAGTTGAAAAAGTAATGGGAATTGAACTCTATCCATGTAGGCATCAAATCCTAACACAGAGGTAGCAACAGAGGGTTTTAAAAATGTGTCTTCTCTTTCACTACTAGAATGAAAGCTTTCCATGCCCAGATTTTTATGTGGTTTTCTTTTTGCCTACTAGGATTAAGACTCTCCATGCCCAGATTATTGAGAAGGATGCCATGATCAAGGTGCTACAGCAGCGCTCCCGGAAGGAGCCAAGTAAGACAGAGCAGCTGTCATCCATGAGACCAGCAAAGTCGCTGATGTCCATTTCCAATGCTGGATCGGGCTTGCTTTCCCACTCATCCACCCTAACTGGTACTCCCATCACAGAGGAGAAGCGGGATGACAAGAGCTGGAAGGGGAGCCTAGGTAATAAAGCAATCAAGGAAAGTACACAGTGATATATTTAGAAAGTTCCTGGCTGTGCCACATAGAGCAAGGAAAAGGCACAATGGTCAAGGTTCTAGAGAGGAGAATGGTTTTTTTTTTTTCCTCCTGAGGTAACTAGCTGCTTACCCAGGAGCTCATCCACACTGTGGTGTCTCATGGTAAGAACATTAGCTGAGATCAAAGCCTGAAAATATAAGAATGCTGAATTCTTTGGGGCTAAATAGGAAGAAAACTTGAATTTTATCTAAAAAATTCTCAGATTTGGCTTTTGTCATGTGGGAGCTTTGTTCAAAACCCAAGTAGCCTTCATGTCATGCAAAATTTCAAAACTACAGTATCACTGTGTTCCTTCCTCCCTTACAGAAGGAGGACCCAAAGTTCTGTAAGCTTAATGGGGTCAGGTGGCAGCTTTCGTTACCAGAAAATTCTGGTATGAGAACAGAATGTACTTTTTTGTTTCGTTCCTCTCCATTTCTTCCTGTGTAATTAATGCCCCAGAGTACTGTAGATAACAAGTGGCACATTTTTGATCCCGAGGAAGCAAATAAATTTATATTATTGTTTTTAATACCTTTCTTGTTCCTCTGACTCCTGCAGTATCTTTCAGTTAGAGTAACATTCCGGGATCCATGGTCATATTTGGAATCGTAGCTCACATTATTATTAGCACCCTCATGTGTATCCACAGGTCCTGCTACCACTGAATTATTTTCACCTCTCTGGTAAAGTGTGGAATGGAATAGAACTCTGGCAAGTTGGTCTGCCACAATCACCACTGAACAAAAATCAATCAGATACCAAGGACATTCACAGGTTTAAGATGTTGTGTTGGGAATTTAATAATGAAGTTGAGAAGGGGTTTTTTAAGTCCAAAAGGAACTTTTAAGCCACTGTGGGAGATATCTGATTTCAGAGGTTCCCTGGAGGCAAAAAATAAATTTACACACCTCATCAATATTTTCCCCAACCTCTTTCAAGGGAAAATAGATAAGCAGTACCTACATAGGAATCACCTACTGTGCTCTCAGTTTGTTCCTCACTTCATTTGTAGGCATTCTTCTTGGTGGAGACTATCGAGCTGAGTCCATCCCATCCACACCCTCACCTGTACCTCCATCCACTCCCCTACTCTCTGCTCACTCCAAGACTGGCAGTCGTGACTGCAGCACCCAAACTGAACGTGGAGCAGAACCAAACAAAAGCGCAGCTGTCACTCCCATCTCTGTTCCTGCTGCTGTTCCAGTTGCTGCTGCCGCCACTGCTGCTGCCATCACTGCCACTGCTGCCACCAACACTGCCACTGCTGCCACCAACACCACCATCATGGTAGCTGCTGCTCCAGTTGCTGTTGCTGCTGCTGCTGCTCCAGCTGCTGCCACTGCTGTTGCTGCTTCCCCATCTCCAGCGACTGCTGCTACCCTTGCTGCTGCTGTTTCTCCAGCTGCTGCTGTTCCGATTCCAGCTGCTGCATCTCTTACTGCTGCCACTGCTGTTATTCCTTCTCCTATTGCTGCTAATGCTGCTGTTGCTGCTGCTACTGCTGCTGCTGCTGCTGCTGTGCAGGTTGCTCCAGCTGCTACGGCTCCAGTTCCAGCTCCAGCTCCGGTTTCGGCTCCAGCAGCAGCTCAGGCTTCTGCTCCGGCTTCGACTCAGGCACCAGCTCAGGCTCCGGTTGCAGCTCCTCCTCCACCTCCGACTCCAGCTTCAGCTTTGGTTCAAGCTGAGGCTCCTGCAAGTCCAGCAACCAGTTCTGGACCACGTCGTTTGTCCACACCAAATTTAATGTGCAATCCAGATAAGCCAGGTAATCCCAATTATCTGTAGCAGGTAGAGTCTGATTTTTCCCTTCAAATACAGTTCTATCTGTTGGTGCCCAATATTTTGGTAGAGTTAATTGTATTGAGTGTTTCTTATTCTGAAGGGAAGTCATCAGAGGCAAGAAAAGAAAAGGTTGTGTAAATGCCTTTTCTCATCCACTGAGATGGGAATGGACATAGGTAAAGGCCATTCTTCCAGTAAAGTAAGTAAGGATAGCAGGCAGGTCACACACAACCTTTAGTTTCACAATGCCTTTGAACACAGTCTTTGTTGAAAGCTGAGTTTTTACTTTGTCCTTAAGTCTTTTCTAACCTCTCTTTTCCACTTTAGATGGTCCTGTTTTCCACTCCAGTACCCTGGAAAGAAAAGCACCCATTCAGCTCCTGGGACAAGAGCCTGATGCAGAGATGGTGGAATATCTCATCTAAAATACCAGATCAAGAGCTGAAGTTTATCAGCAAGAGTGTTTTTTAATCATTTTCCCCTTTTGTTTGTTTTTATTCTGGGGGTGAAAACGGGGGTTGGGGGTAGGGTTGGTTTTTTAAAGGGACTTTTTATTGGACTCTTATAGTACTTAAGTAATACCATATGATACCAATCCATTCTGGAATACTTAGGGAGTACCTAGAAAAGATAGATTAATCAGAATGTGCTCTGAGGTTTATTGTTGGGATTTATGCAATTCTTGGATTGTTTGCAGGTAGTGACGTCCATTGATGTTTATAATATGCTTAAATTTCTTTTAAAGTTCCTTGTTCAAGGTCATTGAAGAACACAGCATGTATGGAAGGCAGTTTGTAACATGTAGTTCAGAAGTGGGATGCCAGAGCGAATTTGAGGACATGCTGCTTTGTCTTAATGACTCCCTAGACAGCAGCCACAGAAAGCTCTTATTTGGGTTTGAGGAAAGAAATTGTTTTAGAAGCTATGGAAGCGGGAGTAAAGGTAGGGAGTATTGGAGACAGAAGGATGCTGGAGCCAATATTCTCACTGGTTGCCAGTTACCTTGTCCCAGGAAATTGATTGTGTTTATCTCCATTTTAATGGTGCTTTGGAAGTGGATTCTTTTGACTCCCACCTGG